ATAATATGCAATCTCTATTTGACCAATGAAAACACCCCCACTAAATTTGATGAATTTTCATTGGTTGTACATGCCTTAGTTTAAAGAAGTGTAGGAGATCCAAAATGATGCCCTATTGTTCACTCTTTAAATAGCCGAATTGAATATGGTATTTCTTATAATAGGGGAGATTTAAGTTTAACCCCAACTTGGACTTTGTTCTTCACTTGATGAAGTGAACAACGAAAACCACTTAAATAGTGTGAATCACCTTTTCCTAATTATTCATAATTTTAATTCCAATAAAGTTGCTCATAGACAATACAATGGAGTATTAAAAATTTTAAAGCATGAGATCAGCATCTTTTACCCCCCTAAACCGCATCCTGCCCGTGAATTTAGCATCAATTCATAGTCAGGATTCATCCCCCTATACTTTGGGACTAAAGGATTCTGAGCTGGGCTGATCAATCATTCTCCCAAAATAAATAAAAGAAGGGAAGGTTTTTCCAAAGGTCAGAGTAAAGAGAAAGTTCATGTATTTGTTAAAAAAAACATAGGGGAGATTTAAGTAATTTACCCTTGTATGGTCTACAACAAATGGAAACTAGCTGATTTGAAAACAACTTGGTTCTAAAAATAAAAACAAAAGAGCGTTGGTTATTGATGATGCGCGATCTGGTTTCTCCCTCGTGTCTTGTGACTTGGCTCGAACAAGGTTTCAGTCTAGCAGAGCCGAGCTGTACAGCCGAGCTGGTGTTTTGTGTATCCAAGCTGAAGCGCGCCATAGAGAGAGAGAAGGGTGAGAGCACTCGAGTAGGTTTTACCCAGGGAGAACACTCGAATGCTTAAGTCAGAAAGATGGTAAAGAAATCTCTTGAGAGTGTGAGAGAGCTTGAGTGTATCAGTGTGCATACCTTTTAGGGTGAATTTGGAGTATTTTTATAGCTATTTGAGGTTCAGGTGCCATCAGGCAACATCTCTGAGTCTTCTGCGGATCTGTTTCCACAGGTTGAGGCGTTTTTGAGCATCGGTTGCTAGATTCGAGTAGCGGTTATAGGTCACCTGTGGGTCTTGTGGTGTACAATTCGACGAGTTGTTCCTATGGTCGTAGTAATGGTTCTCATGAGGGCACGACACGCGGAACAGTTTAGACGAGCTTGTGTCGTCAGCGGACCGAGCTTGCCCCAGCTCGGCCGCACACCTGATGTTGGTTGCCATGTGTTGACTTGTCGAGCTATCTTGTTGACTTGGACGTTGTGTTTTTAACAACGTCCACATGTCGGTAGTTGCGCGGGTTGACCAAAATGCCCCTCATCAATTGCCCCCCATTCTCGAAACGCTGCTCAGCGGCAAAGAGAGTGGGAACTTCTGGGGCATTTTGGGTCTACTCGCTTTTCTTGGTGGTTCAGTTCGCCTTTGTTGGTGGTTTAGTTCATCACAGGCATCGCAAGTAAGGTAGTGTGAAGGACCTTCTGTAGATCTGCTCGCCTACTATCACGTAACGAGCTACTTGTTGTTCTATCCTCCGAGCTGCATTTTGTTTTTTTGGCAATATGCCTTGTCGAAGGTTAGATCTATCCAACTTGACTCTATAGTACATGAAAGATCTTTTGTAGAGTTACTCACCTAATATCACGTAGTGAGCTGCTTATCGTTCTATGAGCCAAGTTGTGTTTCGTTCTTTTGGCAATACGCCTTGTCGAAGGTTGGATCTATCCAGCTTGGCTTTGTTGTACGTGAAAGATCTTCTGTAGAGCAGCTCACCTACTATCACATAGCGGGCTGCCTGTCATTCTATTCGTCGAGTTTCATTCCTCTCTGTCAGTAGCGTTTCGTGTTTTAGGTAGTTGTAGATCAGGTCAATCCAGCTCGTCTCTACATCAGTTATATTGGTGACCTCTTCACCCCCTTTTTCTATCAAGGGGCGAGGTAGATCTTCTATGTAGACTGATCGTTTTGTTGAGTCAGTCATGCTTGCAAGTTTAGAAAGGGCATCAACCTCTGTATTTTCCAATTTTCGAATTTGTTGGAGATACCAAGAGTCAAAATTGTATATGAGTTCTCCCACCGTGGCCAAGTAGGCTGCCATGGAGGGTTCTCACGCTTCGTATTCCCCATTCACTTAATTTACTATGAGCTGTGAGTCACTGCACACTACAAGGTGTTTGGCTCCTACCTCCTTTGCTAGTGCCAAGCCAGCTAGCAATGCTTCATATTCTGCCTCATTGTTAGCAGCTCAGAATTGAAACTGGAGTGCGTACTCCATCTTTACTTCACTAGGTCCATAAAGTATTAACCCATCTCCGCTCCCCCTAGTTGGACAAGCCGTCCACATGAAATATGCAGGGCTCCTCATCCCACTCCGCTATCTCGCGAGCTGGGAGTGGTGCCACGCTGGATGAAGCTTCAGATTCTGGTTCTATCATTACAGGAGGTGGCGAGATGAAGGTGCACTCGGCAATGATGTCTGCCAAGACCTGTGCTTTTATTGCTAGTCGCGGCTTGTACCGGACGTTGTATTCACTAAGCTCTATTGCCCATATTGTTAGTCTCCCCAAGACCTCAAGTTTCTAAAGGACCTACTTCAAAGGTTGATCGGTCAAAACTATAATGGTATGGATCTAGAAATATAGTCTTAGCTTTCAGGTAGATAGCAGTAGCGCGAAGGCGAGCTTTTCTATGTCAGGGTATCTCGTTTCCGCTGTGTGTAGGACCTTGCTGACGTAGTAGACAGGTTGCTATGTCTTATCTACTTCTCTTACTAGGACCGAGCTAACCACCTTGTCACTTAAGGAGATGTATAGTTTAAGCTCGTCCTCGGTCTCAAGTTTGGATTATAGCTTAGGCGAACTAAATTCTCTTTTCAGCTCGTCAAAGGCAAGCTGTTGTACAGAGGTGGAGTGGCTTGTCATTGAGTCGAGCCCTGAGGTAGTGACTTGCTTTTTCTTTGTGGTGAGCTGTTGCGCCTCTCGAGGCGACCTGCTTCTTCTTCATGGCGAGTTGTTGCGCCTGCTCCAAGGCGACTTGCTTTTTCTTCGTGGCGAGCTATTGCGCCTGCTCCGAGGTGATCTTCTTTTTCTAGGAGATTTATTTCTCTTCTTTTTCTCACTGCTACTTGTCCCTTCCTTGATGTTCGCTTTACATCCTGACACTTCCCTAATCAGAGTGGGCTGGCTTCTTTTTTTTTTTAGCATGGTGAGTACTTCTTTCGCGCTTTTTCTTGGTCCCCGCGGATGAGCTAGCGAACTCAGTCCAGAGAGGAGCTGTAGCTCGGCTCTCCATCGGTAGTTGGTTGTTATCGAGGGTCGCGTTGTCAATGGGAGGCTGGTTGTTCATGTCGTTTTACTACTGGTTGTTCTACTGTTGTTGGTCGTTCTGCTGCTGGTTGTTCTCCCATACCCACATCTAATTGTCACAGGGGGGTTCTCAAGGTTCACCACGGATGTTCTTGCCCCCCAGTGATTGATTCTTCATTCTTGATGTTAGTGTTAGCTTTTTGTAGCGGTTTCCCACAGACGGTGCCAATTGATGATGCATGATCTGGTTGCTCCCTCGTATCTTGTGACTTGGCTTGAATAAGTTTCCAATCTGACAGAGCCGAGCTGATGTTTGTGTGTTCGAGCTGAAGCGAGCTATAGAGAGAGAGAAGGGTGAGAACGCTCGGGTAGGTTTTACCCGGGGAGAACACTTCGATGCTTAAGTCAGAAAGATGGTATAAAAATCTCTTGAGAGTGTGAGAGAGCTTGAGTGTATCAGTGTGCATACCTTTTAGGGTGGATTTGGAGTCTTTTTATGGCTATATGAGGTTCAGGTGCCATCAGGCAACATCTCTAAGTCTTTTATGGAGTTGTTTCCATAGTTTGAGGCGTACTAGAGTGTCAGTTGCTAGATTCGCACGGCAGTTACAGGTCTCCCACGAGTCTTGTGGCATACGATTCGGCGAGCTATTCCTATGGTCATGGTAAAGGTTCTCACCAGGGCACGGCACACGAAATGGTTTAGATGAGCTTGTGTCATCGGTAGGACAAACTCACCCCAGCTCGGCCACACACCCCTGATGTCGATTGCCATGTGTTGACTTGTCGAGTTGTCTTGCTGACTTGGACCGTGTATTGTCAACAACGTCCACATGTCGGTAGTTGCGTGGGGTGACCAAAATACCCCTCATCAATTATACATGTGCTTTTGGTTATTTAATACCTGCTCCATAAATTATATAATTTCTATATTACAAAATTTGATTTATCTTAAAAATTATAATTTTGACAGTTTAACCTTAGAGTAAAAACACAATTCGAGGTGTTTTCAAATTCTTTTAATGATGTGATAATTTTAAAAACAAATGAAAACAAAAATATTGTAAAACACTCCGTAGGACTCTTAATTAATAAACATTTATCTTATTTAAGTCAGCAATCAGCATTCAATGCTTAGGTTGAAAATGATCCAAGTGTTATATAAAATAGAAACATTTCTAAAGCCTAAACCCACTTGACATTGGTAGAAAACTCTTGTTCGGTTTATAGAAATAGAAAGCCTAAAAATTGTCACTGCAGTTGACAGACTCTACTAGTCCATCTTCAAATCCTCAATCTAAAGAACTCCAAAAGTCGAGCAAACCTTAGTGGTTCCTATAACACCAATCTTAACTGTTAAAAGAGTATCTATTTATACATCCCTCACAAGAACCATCAATTGGGCATCTTTCCTTCACAGCTCTGATTATCAAACCCTAGAAAACTTAACCACCTAGATCTTCTCTAAGGAGCTGTTTGACGACGGCTGATTTGAATGAACTGAATGACTTATTGCTTTGTCTATCCAGTTCTAACCTTAGCTATCATCAAGTGGGCCCTGCCCTGAAGACTACAGTTTAATAGATCCCATTAAAAGATTCCACATGAATGGTTTTCATGGTGGGTCTACAAAAGTAGATTCTATTCCGAAGGGCTACAAATGAAATCTAGGAATCAGTAAAGCTTACCGAGAAGCTAAAGTTTGATAATTCGAATATATAAATACAATAAATAACGAGAAGCAAGAGGACAGCAGCGGCAGAAGCGGCATCGGAATGAGGATTTGTCCGAGCATCCGCCCACTCCAACCCAGATCACGCCAACGCCGATCCTCACGCCCAATACCATGTTAAAGAAGATGATGGTGATGGGTTGGCTGCGAAGTCGTCGGAAACGCTTCATATTCCTTCTTCTCTGCTCCCCCTTTCTGCTTCCCCTCCTTTGCCTGGCCTTTCCGTTTCTCTGCATCGCCGAACTGTGCTTGGGTCTGTGTCGAAGAAGGGTGGACAGTGACGAGAAGGGGCGGAGCAACCGGTACGAGGACGGCGACGGGAGTGGACTACGGCGGTGCGAGGAGGGTCGGTCCGGGGACATGGTTGAGGAGGAGAGAAAGGTGCGGCTGTTGCAGAGGTACTTGGAAGACCAGCTTGGATTGGTCGGATCGGTCTACGATTGTGGCGATGATGGCTTTGGAGATGACGGAGAAGTAGATGATGATGATCTTCTCGACAACACTACCCCTCTTCTGCAATGATCGGCAGAAGCAGAGATCAATCGAGGGTTTCAATTTCTTTTGATTTTTGTTTTCAAATCTGAATTTCTCCACCACCAGCTTTTCCTTTGTGTTTTTCCTTCCGGGATTGAATTGGGATTTCTTTTTCTTTTTTTATTTGTTTTTGTTTTTTGTTTGGAATACTCAATCACAGTTTTCTGTAGAAGTTGGAAACAAGTTGAGATAATCATAGAATTCTAATTTTATTTACATTTCTTGGGTTGTGGCCTTATGAGTCGTCTGGGTGCTTTCCGTTCCGTTCCGTTCCCTTTGTCTGAACAAAGTGAAGTTCAGAAAAAATAATTCAGATGGATCAGGTTGTGAGAACCCTAGGATTGGAATATGGGTGGGGACATTATCTGTGAGAACCTAGGATTGGAACAAAGGAAACTTGCACGCTTTGTCGTGAGGAGCAAATCCAGGTTGGGTCTGGAATCTGGACAGGGGGACTGGGAGGTCTGGAAGTTTTGATTTGACTATTGGCAGGAGGACTGATTTACTCGTTAATTTCGTTAATCGTCACATTCAATTCTGCGTGGGTGCTTAGGCAACGCCACTTGTAATAGATATAGATATAGATGGCGGGCCCCAACAGAAAGTAGGTCCTAACGTGTTCGAATCTGCTCCTGACGGAGCGCTCTTCACACAGACCTCACAGCATCTCTTAGTGGCACATTGGGAACATCTAGCGGTTTGTGAGGAGCAAATCCCAATTCCATCCCAATTGAGATCAGTGTGAACACTGTCCGAGGCGCAAATCCCAAATCAGTACTTGAGATGCCACTTTATCTTAGCAAAGGCAATTTGATTTTAACATTCTTCTTGCTGCTACTATAAGACAAAATGTAAATATCTAAGGGTAAAGTAGTAAATTCTCATTATGCATAATAAGACCCCCAAAGTGGATGACAAAATGAAGGCTTTACGGCACAACAACAAAAATCGCAAATCAAGTAGAACTTAGTTGGCCTTGCAAAGATAAAACATCCTAACAAAAACTTAATTGAGTCTCGTGAGTTCAGGCCGTTATAATCTAACCTCACAAAAACTGTCTCGCGACACCATTAAATCCTACCTCATAGCAGATTACCTCATGAAGTTATGACATGAGCTGCCTCGCGAAGTTATAACAATCTCGTCTCATAAGAGTAAATTACTTTGCGAGGTGTTCAAAGTCTCGTTGCCTTTGTGAAATTTTTTCTTTTGTTCTAAGCCATTGATAACGGTTTTGTTGTTGTAGGCATGCCGGTACTTTGTTGGTCTTGGTGACAAAGTGGAAGTTCTTCATCTGCTCCTGAGGAACTCTGAAGAGAGAAGAGAGAAGCTCGAGGTGCGAGTCACCGAGGCTAAGAGCGGCCCGGAGTCCACTGCCTCGGCCATGAAGGAGGAGAAGGAGCTGAGGAAGGTCTTGGAGGAAGACCTTAAGGCAAAGAAGGTTCTCACCGTGGAGCTGAACGAGGCCTTGAAGAAGGCTGACGAGATGTTGAAGCAGTCCAAGCTGAAGCATGTTCAGCTGGACGAGGCCCTAGCAGCAGCTCGGGCCCAGGTGGTGGAGGCTGAGGAGAGGGCCAAGGACACCGTCGAGATCTAGAAGACAATGGCTGAGTACCAACATGCCCTCACCGACTATGGGGCCGACTCATACCTGGAGGGCCTTGAAGACGCCTAGCTTCAAGTGTTGAAGTTGATGCCTGACTTCCCAATGAACAAGCTAGGGGTTCCAAAGGCCAAGGATCCTCCTATTGCTGAGGTCCCTTCCATGGAGGACCCAGCTGTTGATGATGCCGAGGTTCCTGCTCCTGCCGAGAACGTTGTGTTGGCTGATCCTTATCTTCTTTTTGTGTTTTTGTTTAAGTCATTTTTTGTAAGGGGCTCAGCCTCCTCCATCCGAGGCCAGTTTTTGTAAAACTGACAGGAAATACTTAATGAAATACACTTTTGCGTAACTTATGCCTTTACTGTCTGTTTTTGTACTTGCATTTTTTTTTTTTTTTGCTTAGGGGTCAATGCCCCCTTCCAAGAGGTCACAAGTAGCAAAGAAATTATTCGAAGTGGCTTGTTACTTAGTCGTTCGCTTAGGAAACTAAGTTAAGGGAGTTCAGTCGAGGCCAAGCTATGCTGCTGAGGGGTTTAGGGCCCCTTTTCCTTAGCGAGAAGGGAAGGGAGACGAAGGCCTTAGCTCTCCTAGCGCGTTCTCCACCCCCATCACAAATTGGTTGGACGAGGCTGAACTCAACCACTGAGGTGTCGGGGCCCCTTCTCTTAATAGAAAGGGAAGGGAGGCGAAAGCCTTAACTCCTTTTAGCTTGTTCTTTATCCTTGCTGAGGATGCTAAGCCGAGGCTGCTTGATGCTACCAAGGGGTTAGGGCAAGGGGTATGGCTTAGCAGGCCTGGCTTGGTTTTCCTTAGGGATGTTTGGGGCGTGAGCCTTTGGTCATCCGAGGCTGTAGAAGCGGGCCTGGCCGAGGCCACGGTGTGCTTCTTTCTTGGTGAAGTACTTAGATTATTTTTTAGTGTGTTTGTTCGCAATAGGCCGAGGTCTTTGGTCAATGCTTAGTAGGCGTATGGTCCACAAGGAACGGTGTGCCTAGGTCGTTGTCCAATCCAAGCGTGTAACCTCGGAGGAGGTTGTATGCGTCGGCTGGTCGTGCGGCCGAGGGGTCCTGGCGGTTAGCGAAGTAAGAACTTATACACTAAAAGTTAAAGCCGAGGGGGGAGGAACTTTGCACTTTATTCACGGTTCAGCCATTAAGGAGTACATTCATTGATAATACATCAATACCTTCCTAGTTGGGGCCAAGCTTGCCCACACCAGGCTCAAGCACCATAACTTTTCTAAGGATGAGGTCTCCTTCCTTGTAATGTATTTCCTTCACTCGAGAGTTGTAATAGCGGGCTACTCTCTACTGGTAGGCCGCAACCCTGAGCTAAGCATGCTCTCAGACTCCTTCTAGCAGATCAAGGTTGTTTCTGAGCTCTTCGTCATTTTTAGCTTCATTGTACACCTCGGTTCAAAGCATCGGCTAGCCGATCTCTTCTAGATGATAGCCTCAATACCATAAGTTAGGTTGAATGGGATTTCTCCCATGGAAGTCTAAGGTGTCGCCTAGTAGGCCCATATGTTCAGTTCATCGGCCAAAAGGCCCTTGGCTTTGCCAAGCCTGGTCTTTTGTCCTTCTAGGATTGTTCTGCTGGTAACCTCAGCTAGGCCATTGGTTTGTGGATAGCCTATCGAGGTGTACTGCTGCTTGATGCCGAGGCCGGCACACCATTCTCTGAACCTTGCATCATCAAATTTCTTCCTATTGTCGGTGATCAACATGTGGGGGAGGCCAAAGCAGCAGATAATGTTTTTCCAGAAGATGTTTTGTATCATTTTGGCCGTGATGGTGGCTAAGGGATCAGCTTTGACCCACTTGGTAAAGTAATCAATGGCGACGACGAGGTACTTTCTATTTCTAGTGGCTTGAGGGAAGGGGTCGAGGAGATCCATACCCGATTTGGTGAAGGGCCATGGACTGTTGAGGGCTGAAAGGGTTGTGGCTGGCCAATGGAAGATGTTGGAGTGTCTTTGGCACCGGTTGCACTTTTGCACCAGCTCGACTATGTCCTTCTGATCCGTTGGCTAGAAATACCCTTGCCTTAGTGCTTTCTGGGTCAGGGCTCTACCTCCAATATGGCTACCACAGGTGTCTTCGTAAATCTCTTGGAACACATACTCGCCCTCTTCCTGGCGGAGGCATCGGAGGTAGGGCAAGGTGAAAGACCTTATGTACAACTTCCCTTCAAGCAAGGTGTAGTGGGCAGACTGCCGTCGGACTCGTCTGGCTTGGTTTCTGTCAATTGACAATTGCTCGATCAGCAGAAAGGCGATGGTGGGGTCAATCCAACAGGGCTCGGCTTGCACAGGGGGCAATTGGATTTCTTTAATGCTAGGGTGAGCTAACTTCTCAATGCGGACTATGCGGCCGAGGGCTATGCCTGAGGTACTTGCTAGTTTTGACAGGGCGTCGACTCTCATGTTCTAGGACCATGGGACTTGTAGCAGGGTGAAGTGTTGGAAGTGGCTGACGAGATCTTGCACCTTTGTCAAGTATTTGGCCGCGTTGTGCTCTCTGTGAAGGAAGGTAGTATCCATCATATGGATGGCCGAACCATGCTAGATGGTTGGGCGATATTTCAAAAAAAAATCTTTAACCTTCCGGGAATCGTATTCCTAGTTTTAGAAAAAACTGCATTTTTATCTTGCACTGGAACTGGACCAGATTTGAAACCAAACAAGAGGGAAAACCTGATATGGATTCCACAAATGTAGCTTCCAAGGTGGTAAGCACGAGATTTCTCTAAATTTTTCTTGCAAAAATCAGAGAGAAAGAATTGATCTTTATCAGTCTTAAAGTTGTAGTCGAACTGGGAGAAAACTGGGAGACAACAAGGTGTAGAGAGAACCAAAAACTACAAAAATATGAAGTTGTCTTGGATTGGTCAGCCCCCTCCTCTTTTATAATCTCTTATGGAGCTATCTCCTAATCTAATTAGGACATAGCTCCATACCCAGATCACCTAGATTCGCCCCAGCTTGAGCTGTCATGTGACATCTTGATTAATCAAATTAATCATGGGCTTTAGGCCCATTAGATGAGTGACTCACGACCCAAGAGTATTGTTGGCCTATTTAGGTTTAATTTGTATGGCGTGGGACCCCAACAATGACCTCACATAAGCCCACATGGGTTCAGCCCAGCCTCTGTGAAAAGGCCTGAATGAATTCACTGCCAAATGCAATGAACCCCTAAGCTCATCACTATGTGCTCAAATGGGCCCAACATTTACTATTAAATGATCCTTGAATCCAGCCATCTTATGAAGACCCAAGGATAATGGATTTAAGTAAAATATATCCCATCAGGTAATCAACCCTTAATGGTCTCATACACTTAATTTCTCAGCCCATAATGATCATACACTACCCGATAGGGAAGGACCTCTCCCCTGATTGCAAGGTGCAGTGTTACACTCTCTTCTCAGATGGATCCCGGGAATTAAAATCTTTTGCAAACACTTTTCTTAAAGCATAATATATATATATATATATATATATATACTTTGCAAAAACAAATCTCAAACACGGTTGAAATCCACTACTGGCAGTTTAGGTTTCCATCAGAGAGAGTGCAGTCCTGATCATTCACTTTGTCCAACAAAGGGGCT